AAAAAAAAAGACAAATGGAGATATATACAAACTGATAGGACCAGAATGAGGAAGTGAGTGTTGAATATTTATCATGTGTTTATAAACTGTGCTTATGTCAGAGCCCACTTCAGTGGGGACACCTGGATCAGTGTCGGTGGCCAGCCTGGTCTGAGGCATAGACACATCACTATATGTGTGTGTGACTTGGGCTAAGTCAGTCACTGTCTTTGGGTTACAACATTCTTGTCTATAAAATGAGGATTTAGACAGTATCGATGGGGCTTGACCTTTGTGAGATTACAGATGCCTTTGAGAAGCTAATAAATTCTTTACAGATTTTTCCCAGGAAAATGCACAAACACACACATGCATTTTTGCACGCAAATTTCGGGAGGGTTGAGGTTCTCTTGAAATGCTTACAGGGACTTCCTGTGGCAACTGGAGAACTGATTGACCTAAATCTCTATTATATGCTTCCCTCCCCCGAGTTAAGATTTATTCTCTTGAGGGGCGGGTACCTTTATACCTTCCCCACCCCCTCCCACTCTGGGCAAACCGTTGTCACATACCTGTGGTGCATTTGTTATATGCTGGCCACTATGAAGCCACTTACATAAATTTAATCACTCTAAGACTCCTCAGAGGAAGGTGACATTTTCATTTGATAAATGAAGAAATGGAGGTTTGCAAAGGTGAAATGACTTGCCTAGTAACAAACAGGCCTGGATTGGACCCTGAGCTCTTAAGCTCCATGGCAGGCTTTCTCATTCTTGACACTGTTGACATTTTGGACAGGATAATTCTTTCTGTGGGAGTCTGTCTGCTGCATTATAAGATTTTTAGCAGCATCCGTGGCCTCAACCCGTTACATACCAATGACACTCCCCTGCCCAGCTGTGACCACTGCAAATGTCTCCAGGCATTGCCAAATGTACTCTCGAGAGCAAAGCGGCCCCAAGTTGAGAACCATACTCCCTGTTGTGTTCCCCTGAGAGGACCTTTAGCGACAAGCTATTGCCTAGGCCAGCATGGGGAATCTCCTAAGCCTGACAGGGCAGGAGAAAAGTTGGGGACCACCATTACAAGGTTTCCTGTACTCCAGGTAAGGGACGTCCGGATGGAACAAACTGCAAGTCATTTCCATCTTCGGGATTCTCTAAATTCATCATTTCCTAAAGCTCTTCCACCCGGCTTTCTTATATTTTGCATACTTCTTGTTGAGAAAGAGCAGTACAGACTGCCAAGTTCCTAGTATTTCCTTTCCCTCCATAAATCAAAAGACGTTATTTAATCCAAAAATAATGAAACTCTCAAACATTTGTCATTTCATGATTCTAAATGCTAAAAATTGTGGTAAATGCTCATACGCTATTGGAATCCTCCTAAATTGGGGTATGGATTTTTTTTCTTTTTTCTTTTCTTACATCACTGTTCATTTTTGTACCATATTTGATTTATCTGCTCAGGTGGAATTCTCATAGTTCTCCCACTACCTCATCACCAATGAGTCCCTTGTGCTCTCCCCATAGTCCCTTGTGCTCTCCCCTCCCCTGCTATATGCCTCAGATCTGTAGTTTGCCAGCAAGTTTTGCCTTTTTCCTGACCCTGTGTTTGGTTTCCATGTAGCCCACCTGTAAGTGAAACCATCCGATATTTTTCTTTTTCCTTCTTATTTCACTGAGCATACTCTAAATTAGGGTATATTGGGCCTCTCCAGTGGTGCAGCAGGTTGAGTGCAGTGCTGTGCTGCTGTCCACAGCCTCTGCAGCGCTGGTTCGATTCTGGCTGGCCAGGGAGCTACCCACATGGCACGGCAGACCTCTCCTGTCTCACCTGCTGCTCCCCTTAGCAGTGTATTTCAGTCCTTCTGCCTGCTCTGCTCCCCGCTCTGTCTCTGGTGAGTCCTCTCACCCTCCCGCGTCTCTGGGTTGTACCTCAGTGCTTGTATAAATAAATAAATCTTAAAAAATAAATTAGGGTATATTAAACAACACAAAACTGTTATTTCTTTAAAACAGTCTTATCGTCTCTAAGCGACTAGAGCTGAGGAAGCACAGCTGGGAGTGGAAAGGGATTCTCACTAAGCTCAGTGATGTGCTCTGGGGCTTTGCTCACAGCAGACAAGGAAAGCAGGAAACCAGCACTTTTTTCACTGCTGCCATTTACCCTTTTTGCTTCCCAAAGTATGTGAGACATTTGCTAGATCATATTTTGGTGGATTATGAAATTGAGTACTAGGAAATCCACATTCAACCCCATCTGCAGGGGTGGGAGTTATACCAGGGGGCTTGTTATCAGCAAAAGTTCTATTAAGAAAATCTCTTGAGAAGATCCATCAAGGTTGAAACCTTGATCTCACATATCAAGGTTCCCCAAGGGATCTATTTAGTTAAGCAATAGTTAAGTATTTGCAAAACATCAGGCACTCTGATTAAAAGAGAGCCTCTTCTGGACTTGCTTGCAGTTTGGAGAGGGAGTCAGCAATATCAGAAAGCCTGGCTGTGTCAGTGAGAACATTCTGGAGCTTTAGAGGCAGACAGGTGGGACAATTAGTCACTGGAATGAAAAAGACTCCTTGCAGGAGGTGAAGTCTGAACTCAGGCCAGGAAGGGTAGGATTTAGCTGGATAAAAGTGCAGGCAATTGTGGAGGGGCCGAGAGGCAGCTAAGGGAACAGCTTGCCCTGAACAAGTGAAGAGGCCCATATGAGAGGGTGAGGACAACCTGGGCCATGCACACACTAGGTCAGCAGCTTCATAGCACAGCTGGAGCAGAGGTGAGGAGTGAGGTGGATGGAGAGGTGAGAAGTATGAAGTCATGGGGGGATTTGTGCAGACCTGGGTTAAGACTTCTGCAGACTTCAAGAATTTTGGAAGTGCCATTACATATCACATCCAACAATAAATATATTAAGACATGGTAAATTTTAAAACATATTACTCATCCCCATGAGAGAGAAATAAATGGTCTCTTTCAAATTTTTTTTTTAAAATTTTTGGGCCTCCTTGTTATATCAGCTTAATCTATAGACGTGAATACATGTTAAGGAAATTAAACTTGACCAAGGGAGGCAGTGCAGTGTAGTTCAGTATGGGGTGATGGATTTGAATGTTCCTTATGCTACTTTCTAGCTGTGTGACCTCGGGCAAGTTATTTAACCTCTGTAACTGTTTTCTTATCTACTATATGGATCAAGGGACAAGGTCACCTTCTAAAGCATCTTCCTAGCTCATGTCACATTCCAAGACCATGTTCATTACTAGGACCCCAGAATTCCCTGCCAAGCATTAGGTGAAGGTTCAAGAAAGCATGTTCTTGGCAGAAGTGTGTGACAAGTCACTGGAGTCATTCCCACAAGGCAGCAGACTTCAAATCCTCCCCTTCCAGGTAAAAGAGGAAATTTTTATTTTGATGACAGGTTTTAACTATAAATTATTAAAGGAATCTCTTTTACATTTGTTGTCCTGATGTACTGCAAGCCTTGATAAAGACAAATGTCTGCAGGCAAAAATGATGACAAATTTTCCTTCACACCCATAAATGTGGTATCTGAAACTTCAGGCCTCTGATGAGCAAATCTCTAGTTCTTTTTAAGACCCCAACTCAACTAAGTCCATCTAAATACCGCTTAAATGAACTAAATCTGTCAAGTTATGCTCAGGCTACCTCCCATACAGTTCTTAACCATCATTCAACTAATATCATTTTTTTTTTTAAAAGACGAACACAGGGGTGGCATGTTTTATGCTTTATCCTCAGAAACAGACTGAAAAGGACGGATGCCCTATGACCCCGGAATACATTACAATTTGGAACCAGGTGTATTTCAAGTGTCAAAGCTAGAGAGGAGAAATGTTAAATTTATGTATGGGGATTCACGGACAGTTTGAACAGAAAGAACCTTGAAAGTAAATGAGTGCAAACTTATTTGATAAGATGAACACAGTCCATCTAGCAGGTGTGTGTTCAGCTTAGAACCCACCTAGCATTTTTCTATTATGCTGTGTTAACACATTCCATGTTGAGTTAAAATTTCAAAGGCATGCTTTTCCCAGTGAAAAATGATTTATTGGGAGGGGGTTAGCTTTTGTGCAAAATTTCTCATGTGGAAAAGGTAAATGTGTGCTTGTGCCAAAGAAGACTGACATTCTCCTTGGAAGACCGCAAGATAAAAAATACTAGAGTCCTTGTTATCATTTATACTGTGATGATGTAGGTTCCTTGCTTTTCTCCAACACCCACTTTTTAGCTTCTGACCATTTCATTTTTAACCTCTTGCCATTTCATTGCTGAAATATAAGTTAAACTCTAGAAAAGAGATTGGTGATAAGAAAGAAAAATCAAACTTATGAATTAAATTGAGATTCAGGGATGTTACATGGATAATTAACCATGTCCCACCCTACCAAAGAAAAAAGTGAATTTCAATTAGAATATAAAATAATTCTCCTGAAAATGTGGGATAGAAGGGATCATTTCTGAATATGGGGCGTATACAAATCCCGCAGAAAAATCCTGCCCACAGAATGCATCAGACAAGGATGAAATACATTACAGGTACATTAAATTTTATTCTAACATTGATAGGAGGAAAAAGAGGAAGGAGAAAAATGAAGCAGGAAAGACACAGAAACTTGTTAATTACAGGACTCTGAGCAAGATATTTTTCTTCCTTTACAAGTTAGAAGCTATTGAATAATTCATGCCAAGAGTGGAAAGGCTGCCTTTTCCCTGGGTGATGTATAACAGCAGGAGAGAGCTTCGAGTGGGTTCACCACATCAGCCACCACTCTTGCTTCTGAGCACAGGGGTGCTCTCCTCTTGAGCTCAGCTTCTGCTTTTGCAGCCAAGCATCCTTGCTGCTGCCTGCCAGCCAGCCAGCCTGGCCACCGGTCTGGGCTTGCAGCCCGCCACTTTACTTTTCCAGCGCTGTACTGCCAGCTGAGAGGTGTCCCTGCAGCTGCCGGATTCTGTCTAGGACCATGTGTGTGGATACTGCTTGGAAGAACCGGGCACTTGCTCCTGGCACAGATCCCAGCTGAGTTTCTCCTATTGATTTCGGGACCACAGATGCTGCTGCGGAGGAGGCATTTTCTGGCATCCCTTCCTCTGCTACAGCCAGTAAAGGACCAGCCCCAAAGTAAGTTACCCCCAACCCTTTCTTTCCCCCTGGCACTTCCCCCACCTGGGATAGCTTCCTGGAAACTAGGGGCTCCATTTGGCCATATTCCTGTGTGCGTGTCTGTATGTATGTTTTTGGGGAGGCTGGGGGTGGTGGAGAAGAGGTGATTGCACTTGGTATTGCTGTGACCGAGGTGCTTGCTGAATGCAAAGAGGCCTTTCCCCTGGTGCTGGAGACATTTCCGAGGCAGGCACCTGTCATCTGCCACCCCCATTCTCCAGCTCCCTCTCCCCCACCCCAGCCCATTCTTCAGCTTCAGCCTTTTGTGTCAGCGGCATCAGGCTGAAGGGATGTCTTTGCCCTCCCAGCAGGCGGGTGTCAGGATGGGTCACGCTGGAAGAAACCGACACTAGTGAGCGAGGTGTGAAGAGTTGGCCAGAATGACCAACTCCTCCTCCACGTCCACCTCCTCCACCACGGGGGGCTCTCTGCTGCTGCTGTGCGAGGAAGAGGAGTCGTGGGCGGGCCGACGCATCCCCGTGTCCCTTCTGTACTCGGGCCTGGCCATCGGGGGCACGCTGGCCAACGGCATGGTCATCTACCTGGTGTCCTCCTTCAGGAAGCTGCAGACCACCAGCAACGCCTTCATTGTGAACGGCTGCGCCGCTGACCTCAGCGTCTGCGCCCTCTGGATGCCTCAGGAAGCGGTGCTCGGGCTGCTGCCCGCCGGCTCCGCGGAGCCCCCCGCGGACTGGGACGGCGCGGGGGGCAGCTACCGCTTGCTCCGGGGCGGGCTGCTGGGGCTCGGGCTCACCGTGTCCCTCCTGTCCCATTGCCTGGTGGCCCTGAACCGCTACCTGCTCATCACCCGGGCGCCCGCCACCTACCAGGCGCTGTACCAGCGGCGCCACACGGCGGGCATGCTGGCGCTGTCCTGGGCGCTCGCCCTGGGCCTCGTGCTGCTGCTCCCGCCCTGGGCGCCCCGCCCGGGCGCCGCGCCCCCGCGCGTCCACTACCCGGCGCTGCTGGCCGCCGCGGCGCTGCTGGCACAGACCGCGCTGCTGCTGCACTGCTACCTGGGCATCGTGCGCCGCGTGCGCGTCAGCGTCAAGCGGGTCAGCGTCCTCAATTTCCACCTGCTGCACCAGCTGCCCGGCTGCGCCGCCGCTGCAGCGGCCTTCCCGGGCGCCCAGCACGCGCCGGGCCCCGGCGCCCCAGCGCAGGCCCAGCCGCTGCCCCCCGCGCTGCACCCCCGGCGCGCGCAGCGGCGTCTCAGCGGCCTGTCGGTGCTGCTCCTCTGCTGCGTCTTCCTGCTGGCCACGCAGCCGCTGGTGTGGGTGAGCCTGGCCAGCGGCTTCTCGCTGCCCGTGCCCTGGGGCGTGCAGGCGGCCAGCTGGCTCCTGTGCTGCGCCCTGTCCGCGCTCAACCCGCTGCTCTACACGTGGAGGAACGAGGAGTTCCGCCGCTCCGTGCGCTCGGTCCTGCCCGGCGTGGGCGACGCGGCGGCCGCTGCTGTGGCCGCCACGGCCGTGCCCGCCGTGTCCCAGGCGCAGCTGGGCACCCGCGCCGCCGGCCAGCACTGGTGAGCCCGCCCAGGCGCGAGCGGAGCGCAGAGGCTCGGCTGGCAGCGCCCCTGGCCACCACCGCGTCCTGTCCCAGCAAAGCAGCCCCTGCCCGAACAGAGACTCCTGCGGCCACGCTCAATACATGGGCGCGAAGATTTCGCCTTCCACCCCGCTGGGACACCCAAGCGAGGTCCCTCTCTCGCTGGGGTGCGCGGAGACATCTTCGACAGCCACCTGATTTCCCCCACTTTGTTTCTGTGTTTGGAGACACCCTACGGTCAAAATGCCAGAGACTTCAAGAACTTGCAACTTGGCATTTTAAGAGAACCGGTTCATTTATTTCAACCCTGTTTTGGAAACACCTCTTTGATAACATTACCATTCCCACCTTCGTCGTCTTAGAGTATATATGAAGCGCCTTGAGTGTGCATGAGCCAAAGGAGATAATACTGATGAAGGAGATAATATTTAAGAAGTATTTTTAGAAAGTAATCTATCTTTGATGATGCTTCTGTTATCATTTAGCCTTTGCGTATTAACCTGCAAGACTGAAACCACAGATGTGCACACGAGTATGAGTTGCCATTAAGACCTCAAGCCCTTTATTCTTAAAAGGGTTTTTATAAAGTAAAATTATTCCCAAACGAGAGAGAATCTTAGCCAGTGAGGGGGGGAAAAACATATTATTTTACACTCCTTTTTGCACTTGTGAGACTGAAAATTGGCATTGAGTGTTAAAGTGAAAAAATTCCAGTTTGCTAATGGATGGTTTGAAGGAGGGATGGAATTGTGAAGACAAATAAAGGGGTTATCTATTTTAGGTACCAGTTTCAAGTTTTCTGTAGCATGCACACTTGTTGCTACCCTTATTTTGTAATCAATTTACTTGCCTCATGAGTGTGATTGCAGCTTTGAACATTCTGTACTATAATGGTTGCTAAGGAGAATAAGTCCTTCTGTTTTCTCCTTCACATTTAAAATATCTCAATGCACATGATATAATTAAACACTACTACTATTAGCTGCTATTGCATGCTCCTAGATGCTAGAACTTACTGGGCATGTGGTATACTAAAGCAATACCCATTAGCCAAGGACATTTTACTTCTTCCAGACACCAGAAGAAGTGGCCTTCAATTATTTGAAAAGAGACACAGGACACCTCTGGCTACGTAGAGTTCTTGTCTTAACCCAATTTATGAGAAAACTCCCAGTTGGGACTTTATCTTGCCAATGGAACCACAGTCAAGATGGAATCAATGATTTGGCTCTGCAAAGACATCTGTGTGCTCTTTTATGATTTAGATAAGCCACACAGTAGAAAGTAACATGGTTTTATGTAGTTCATATATATGATGACAGTTAATGAGAATACCCTGTCTTTAAAGGAGGTATACTAAGCTCAGTTATAATGAATAGCTCAAAGGGGATTCTGTTCTAAAATGTGTAATTTGAAGTTGGTTATTTTCATCTTTGATTTTCTAAATTTAATTGAAATGCAAAACAATGGGAAATCACTTTACCAAATTAAAGTGGGAAGAATGTAATTTTAAATAATCATCTATCAGCATTCTGATTACTGATTACATCAAATCTGGGGCCGAAAGGACTCTATTGGGTAGTTCAGAAACAAAACAGCTGGCTCTTTGCACTTCTGGACGTGTGAAGCCAGAATAGTAGGAGCACTTGTGCATTTGAATAATTACGGGAGTTACAGGAAGCCTTGATTTGTTCACCATAGAACAAAACAAAACAGATATGTTCATTACCAATGATCAATCGCAGTCATTTTATTAATCTATCCCCTTTGTGCATGCACCATTTCTCTCTTACTAAGGTTTCATCTGTTCCCATTTTCCTTGATTCAAATATTTAATTAAAGTTCAGACAACTATTCCTCTGAGTTTTTTTTTTCTTTTTTCTTTTGTCTCTGGTCTTCTTGTATACCTCCTTGAGAACACTGTAACGGATGACGCTTCATTCCAAAGCACTAGTGATAAAAGTGACTTCTTTGTTCTGGCTTTCTTTAACCTTATTTTTCATTTTAAAAATGATTCTCCCTTATGTAATGAAGTAGGGTCCCTAGGCCAGCATGAAAAAAAGTAGGTATAGTTTCCTTTCTGTAAGCATTTGGGGAATAGACTGCAGTAACAACAGAGAGCTGAAGGTTTTCTTTTATGGGGTGCTGAGGGCAGTTTTCTAAATCTGTGTCAGTGCGGATGTTACAAGCATTTCTTCCCATTGTTTTTATAAATGTTTGTCGCACATATAAACTTAGCTTTTCAAATACCTGGTATATCTGACATCTTGCAATGTTTCTGGCTGACACTGAGAACCACCTTGTCTGGCTAAGTGCCACTTGGGAGACCTACTTTAGGTTATATTTACTGGTAATTAACTCCACAGGACTGATTCACTTTTAATTTCGAAGCAGCAATGATGTGTCTAAAAATGCCTTACTAGGGCAATAGCTGGAGTGTTGCAGTTATTTCTTTTACAAATTAAGTTAATGGAGATTGTGTTCTTATTTAAATGAAACCACATATTATCCACTCAGGAATAAAAAAATCCTAATTGCTTGTCGTGGGCTGCCCTACTTTGCCGTTTCTACTCTTTTTTTAAGGTTTGTGTCTGTTAAAACCTATAGCTTTCCCTCATTAATAGCTAAATTCTAGAATGAAATAGGCATTACCCTCTAGCATTTCCCTCCTTCCAAAATGAAGTGTTTGCATAAACAAGAATTCTGTTTTGTACAGAGGCAGCGCAGGTGTTTTTTGTTTTAGCACTACAGGGAGATTTCCAAGGTCAGACAAGTTTCCTTGTGTCTCTAAATTAGGGAGACTAGAGAGAGAAAAGAGGAAGACCACGGTGGAGCTGAGGAAGGGGGAAGGGACATTTAACTCTCTAATGGAGAAAGGCCTGGAAAGGATCCGCTCGCCAAGGAAATTTGGCCTGTGTTGGCCTCGTGGTTCAGCCCTGTTCTTCTGATAACCACCATCTGTTGTCAATAGTGACTTTAATTCTGTTCTCTCAGGGATTCAGACAGTGCTCATTAGCAATCACACTATCTTGACAAAGGGCATCAATGGCATTGATTCAAATTCAAGAACACTGAGAAATATCATCTCTGTCCCTCACTTTCAGAGCCTGCTCTTTGCAGGGTGGGTTGTAGGGCGAGAGTGTGCTCCAGATGGAAACTCTCAGACTACGGGCAGGGGGCATGCCTTTTTCAACCTTCACTCTCCCTTTCAGAATAGTGAGGGGGCCTCACACGTATGTGTGTGGACCCAGCCTACAGCTCTAAGTGCTGACCACATGCACCCCTCAACCAGCCACCTTGGCCACCTCTAGAATACACCAGAGGGAGGAGCAAGTCCTGAAAATGGCCTTGAGTTGTTTGGGTGGGAATTCATGGGTTGCAGGTACACCACCTGTTAAGGGAGGTCCAAGCTCTGAGTGGGCACATATCCTTGGGACCTCCTTTTCCTGTGGAATGGGGAGTGGCCAGAGAGGGGTGGGAACAGGCCCTTTAAGGCATGAAACCAGATTGAGACCACGGTTTATCAAGTCAGCCTGCAAGACAGTTTCACACAGGTCCTCCTCTGGTATTCTGTCCTATCTCTTCCCATCTGATGAAATCCCTAAACAGGTGCCACACATAGGGTTTCTCCGGACACTAAATCACAACAGACATAATGCAGTCTGTTAGGAGTGGCGAGGAAGGAGCTGGAAGGGTATAGATAAAACAAGGCAGCTGAGATGTTGAAGGTTGTTGAAGGAGAATAATGGGTACTGGGATGCATTACACAATTTGCTTGTTTAGATCCTTGAAATTTTTCATAATGAAAAGCTCTCTGGGCCAGCTCCTTGCTATTCTTATTAGTGGAAGGTGTGTTAATTTCTCATCTTTCTTGGTGGAAATTAGGCTCATTTCCCATTTTTCTATTCTCAAGGAGTAGAAAAACGAGGCATTTTTACAAAGCGATGCTGAAACAGATACTCTGCATTGAGCCAACAGGAAGGAAGGAAGGAGGCAAGAAAGAAAGGAAGGTGAAAACAAAGGGACAAAGTAACGAATGGTCATGCAGCAATTGTGGAGAAGCTGGAATGCACACCTTTTTGTCTGACTCCAGAGTATGGGATAACCATTATCCTGTTGGATGAAATCAGGATTTTTCAGCCGCTGTGGCATGCCGCCATGAGGTGCTCGTTCTTTAAGTCCCCCGATATCTCTCTCCCTCCTTGAAGGCTCCCCTTCCCATAGCCGAGTTGTGATCTACATCTTTGTCTAAACCTGACTCTTGTTCTGGGTCTGAAATTTGACTCATCCCAGGAGCTTCCTGGAGTGTCTTCATTGCTTCCCCAATCTCCAGCCTTCAATCGAGAAGGTTCCCTTAGCTTCTCCCTCCTCAATACAGCACCTCCCCCCTCCCAAGTTTTGCCTCTACAGAATTTGGACACCAACAAGTTCTTACCAACGGTCCCTTCTCCTATTAGCTCTGTCACTTTATCTTCAAAACTAGATAGGAAAGGTTGTTTTTTATTTTTTTAAAGACTTTTTTAAAGAGACTTTTTAAAAAAGCAGATACTGTCTTTTATCTTTCAATAACCAGTTAGCTGAAATACAATAGACAATAAATGTTGATAGTCGACAAGAGTAACTTTGAAAGAAAAAAAATAGTTGGTCTTTTGCCTTGCATATTTATTTTTCTTTTAATAAAATAGGTCCTAGAATAAATCCTATCTTGTCAAAGGATCTCCAGAGTAATAGTGTATGGGATTATGAATCTGGTGAATAAATCACATAGTGCAGTCATTTGAGGGAGATTTATACTGCTGTTGTCCAAACTCTGTTTATACTGACAAATATAACAATAAGAAGTGTGAGTCCTACTGACTATAAATTCAAGGTTAAATTACTGAAAATGCATAATACTTCACAGGAACTTGCATAGAAAATGTGTGGTTTTTAATTTGTAAAGCCCTTACACATTGCTAATCGATGGCTGTGCAATTTGCTAGAATCTGGGAGATATAACTGTGGGAATGTCTTTACCTCTCCTTGTCAGTTCCCTGGATGATAGAACTGGAGATCATCCAACCCAGCTCCCTGCTATTTTTATTTGGCAGAAAATGCTTGAATTTTTAATCTTTCTTGGTATAAATTAGGCCCATTTTCATTTTTCTATTCACAGGGAGTAGGAAAACATGTAGCCTCCTTTGCATAGTCAGATACTTTGCTTTTGGCTTAATGAAAGTCCTATGAAATGTCAGCATGGTTGAAATTCCTAATTACTACAAAAATTTACCCTTGTGAAAGTTTTATTTCTTGAATATAAAGGTTTTTTAAAATCTGAAAATTAGAATCTGTTTTCACCAGAAATGTGTAAAATACAGGAGCAGAGAAGAAATGATATCATCCATAGTTCCTCTTCCCAAAGACTATCAATTTTAACATTTAATCTACTTATCTGTTCTTTTTTTAATCTTTTCCTATGTCTACTTAATTGCATGTAATTACAGTCAGAGAGTATATACTGAGATATGTTTATATGATGTTTATATGTGTGTGTTTATATACTCACTCACATGAAAAATGTCAGCAGAAGTTATAGATACCTAGTGACAGTATTTATAACGGGATGTGTTCAACTATAATGACGTTGAATCATGATACAAATGAGAAGTCTGCAGGTAGATGCTTCCAGACTGTTCAGTCGCATCACCATGTCATTCAGGAACCATGTTCTTTTCATCTTTCTATTCCATCCCCTGCCACGCTGTTGCCTTGTGATTCCAAAATGGCTGCCGGAACTCTACTTGACAGATTGTCACATATCAGAAGCAGAAAAGAAGGAAAAAGCTTTTCCCAATTTGTCTCTTTTTCATGAGAGGGAACTCTAAGAAGCCTCTCTCTGTTCCTCCCCCCTGCCCAAAGACTTCTCCCATCTTGTTGTCTCAAAGTAGGTCACATATCCACCCTTAAAGGAAACTGAGGTATGAATTAAAAAACAAATACATATATTGCTCACAAGAAGTCTATTCTTATGTGCTTGTCAATGTACATGATTTAAGATTTGCAGCTTGTGCTGTTCTTTTCCTGCTTGGTAGATTTTATTTCTTTTTCAGAACTTATAGGTGGACTGCAGGTTAAAATGAGTAGGTCCTTGTGCAATTTCCAGTGTCAAGAAGTCATTTGTTGTAAGTCGGTTGCACTGAAATAGGATCTTCTGTCATCCCTGTTATTTAGGTCTTTGACAGTGAACAAATGGAGCATGTGAAAAGCTACAACTACCAGGCTATTTCTATCCCTCTCATAGTTGTTTTCTGACTGATTGTAGGAGAATGCCTGCTGGGGGTGAAGCAGCAGAAGGTGAGAGCAGCACTTGGACTTCCATAAATATCAGTGCTCATGCTGCAGAATTGTTTCCAGACTATGGTGGAACAGATTTGGGGTCTGGAGGTTGTCACTAGATAGTCCTTCTTTTCCTTGAATTTTTAACCATTTGATTAATAAGTACATAAATTTGAAATGGCTAGGTAAAATATCACCTCCATCTTGATCAAGGCTAGGTTAGAGGATTTAGCTCCATGTGAGTGCCAACGTGGTCTTCCCCCCACTCTCTAGGTAAGACTAGCAAAAGACCCTTCTCATGGAGACCCAATGAACTACAGATCTTGTGATATTGAACCAGGGTATGGTCAGGAGGGCCTGGCAGGTGGATGGTAGAGTCTCTTAGATGAGCTATGGACCTGCTTTCTTAGCCAGTTGTATCAGAGGAAATGTCTCATATTGTCTGTTCTATTATCAAGGGGTGCAAGCCAGTTATCATTTAAAGTAGACCCTAAATATCAGCTTAAGCTGAAAATAAGTATAATAATCAGATGTGGGAAAGAATAACTTTTACCATATTCTGAAGTATGATTGAAGTAAAAGATGCTCAGTTTGGAGAAGAGAAAACTATAGAGAAAAATAATGCTGTTTTCAAATATCTGAAACAATATCAAGCAGAATAATAATGCTAATTTCCACTTGAGATGGAAATTGAGATGCCTTGTGTCAGATGTTTGTTATATACTTTATACATGTTACCTGGTCTGATTTTTACCTAATGTGGCAATTATTATGACTCCAGTTTTGTTGTTGAAAATGCTGATTCTTTAAGAGGTAGATTGCCCAAGTTAACCTGGCAGGCAAGGAAAAGAATTGATAATTAAATTCAAGTCTGGCTGACTCTCAAGCCTGGGCTTATAAACACAAATCCATCTGGAGAGGAGGGAGAAAACATGCGTGGTATATGGTTCCAGAAGCAGAATTTGGCTCAGTGGGTAGGAGATAAATTTCATCTTAATATGAGAAGGAATGTTGTCTCAGGTACAGGTGTTCAGAAGAAAGTGAACTCTCTCAGGATATCATGATTTTCCTAATACTTGAGGAAATTAGGGCCTCCCTCGTGGTGCAAGGGGCTAAGATGCAACCTATGAAGCTATCTGCAGCCACGAGTTTGATCCCCAGCCAGGGAGCTACCCACATGGCTCAACAGACCTCTCCTGACTCGCCCGCTACTCCCCTCAGCAGTGT